ATTTGCACCAATCACAGGAGATAGGGGTTTAAATGAACGGAGGGGGGAGCTTTACAACTGAACTTGGGTGGGGGGATGAACAGATATGATATTAGATAATTATAAAGATTTTAAATCAGGATGGATTTACGAATAAATCCACAATTCAACTTAAGGCATCCCCAGTCATATACAACTCGAGCATTCTTTCGTCAAAAACTACCCATGTACCACCGATTTTAATCCTTGCTTACGTGATCGATATGCTATCGTTGCAACAATCGAGTTAGTCTTCATCGTTTTTGTTTTTGGTAGATAATTTTCATAACAGGGGGCACTATTTAATGAAAAATTATTTCGGAAAAAATAAAATAGTTCATTTTTACCTATATATAATATTAACTCACCTGTACGAGATACCAACTCGATGAACGGCTCTCTTCGCTTGAAGCAGAGCTACTTTTATCTTCGTCGCCTAGCGTCGCCATATTGGATTTAGAAACACGTAAAAGCTACAGAGGATTATGGGTGATTTTGTTTGTTAGTTTTTTTTTCAGGGCAATGGATTGTGGGAGACTGCCTGTTTATGATCCAAGATGGCGGCACTTCCGCAGAAGAAATATTACCGGCAAAGAGCTCATGCAAATCCCATGGCCGATCACACTCTTGAATAGTGAGTAAAATATTTAGAAAATTACGGTAGTGAAGTTTTGAGTTATGGTAAGGTCAGAATAGGCGTACAATCACTAATTCACGTTTGGGGTGCGTGGAGTGCGGTATTAAACAATTATTGGATGAGGTTTTAGTGATATCCGGTTCTTACCGAGACTTTGATTCATCAGGATATCACAAAAACCGAATCTAAATGATTATTTTACAATAAATTGAACGAAAAAGATGGTCACGAGAGTAAGTGAAACTAGTAATTTTTTCTAAACGTGCAAAAATATACAAATCAGCAAGCAACACAAAGCGCGCAAACATGAAATGATTACCGGTGACCTTGAGTGACCTTGACACGATTATTGTATTATTTGCGGCCAGATGACGTCCCAGGCACTGATTTAAAAAATTCAATGTACACCTTCAGCCAATCAAAAAAAGACATAATGAGTTGAACGTATAATAAACAAGAATAAAAGTAGTAATTATTTTATCTATGTGATGCAGATAAGTTTTAGGTCATTCTGTAGTGTTGGAGCGGAGGGGGGGGTATAATATGTTGGTTGAAAAGATAATTGGGTGTGCATGCATGTTCTCTCCTCTCATCTAGTCTAATGTCTCAGGCAGCATACTTAAGTTCCCCATTATCAGGTGAAGGGGGGGTGCCAGAGGGGGGCTATTAGGAGGTGGGGGTTGCTGGAGGGGGAATGTTTCAGTGGAAGACAAACTGCTCATCTTTTAATGTACTTGCATGTTTTAGTAAGTGGATTTATTGAGGATAATATTGAAACTAGGATAAGTTCATTTAGTTGTGAGAAGATGGTATGAAAATCAAAGGGATGTATTTCAAGGCACAAGAAAAGTAGTGATTAAGGACTATTTTTAAAAACTGAATCATTGGATAGCATATTTCATGAGTTTTCAAGAGTTTCCAAGTGTTTATAATATTCTGTTTGTTCTTAAAAAATAAACTTGGGAAGATTAACTTATATTTTGAGGCCTTTCTAATAAAACAATTTTTCCTCCTACACTTGTTGGATATGATTTCCAACATGCACTTTTGTAGTAACTAATTGTTTATCAAACAATAAAATCCATCAGCTGCAAAATTCAGGGAACAAAATAGGGTCTTGTTTGCCCTCTCCCCTTCCTTACTAGGGATACTAGGGAGCACTGCAATACATTTTTTACATGTCTCTTAACCCTTTAACTCCCAAGATCTGATTGTGAATTCTAACCTCTAGCTGCAACATATTTCCTCATAAATTAATAATGAGAATTTGGTGTTAGATTAAGATAACTTCTACCTGATAAGTTTGAGTATTCTCATTACCTGTTTGCTGGGATATGTCTGGATATTATAAGGAGAAGTTACATGTTGATCACTTCTGGGAGTTAGAGTTAAGAGTTAATCAAATATATGGACAGAGGTATGTGGATGAAAAGTAAATTGATTTTGAAGCACCTTAAATAGTGTTATAAAATAATTCAAATAGTACGTGAGCTCTGATTGGCCATAAAACCATTTACATGAGCATATGTAAACACAGTTTTCATTCCTCTTTCATTAGTTATTTTATAAAAGAAATGTAAAATGGTTTCCGTGTTTACATAGCCTGATGTAAACACTTGGGAGGTTGGGAGAACACTCGATAAGCTGGAAACCACTCTACTTTGCGTCGTGGTTTCCTCTGCTTTGCATCGTGGTTTCCTCCACTTCACATTGTGGTTTCCTACGCTTATCTCGTGTTCTCCCAACCTCCCGCGTGTTTACATCAGGCTATGTAAACACAGAAACCATTTTACATTTCTTCAATATTTCATTATGGAAATGATATTAGAGGACTCACAGGGCTTACTGTAATTTGTGAAACAAAATGAAACAGATTCACAATTTGAAAACTACAGATTTTCATTTTGGAAATTACAGATTTTGAATTAATTTTTCAAATTACTTGATTTTGGCCAAGGAACTGTATGCTCATTTCCTGATTATTGAAAAAACTGATGATTCATGCTCTTCTTACAGTCCTGTATCTCCAGATGCAATGGATTGGAGAACTCTGTTTCCTGCTTTCTTTCCTGAAAAAGATGACAATGGAGAACACACAGTTTGTAAAACCTCAAGAGTTGAATTTGCAGACATAGGGTGTGGATATGGCGGACTTTTAGGTACACATGTCCTGACTTTAACAAACAGACTCCACGTTGTTATGCATCTGTAATAGTAAGAGATCATAGGTAATGCCAAAATATGGTAAGAACAAAACAATTAACACACAAGGTGCAGCTGAGTGTGTCACTGATGTTCCAACTGCATTTTGACATCTTCTGTAATCTATTACAGTAACTGTACAGACCTGCAACAACATGGGATCTATTTGTTCTATACGATAAACAAACAAAATGTTGTAAATGGTGATGTCATCTATTCATCATTCCCCCAATACATCATGAGTAAGAACCAATCAAAATATATGTATAATCCAACAAATACAACTGATATTAGATCACAGTAACTTTAAAGGGCTACAATAATGATACACCCTTAACATCACAATAATTAATAAACCCTTAACATCAGGAAAGGTATTCTCCTTACTGTTCCCCATACATTCCCTTTGGTGCTGACAAGGAGAATTTGTGTAACAATCAACAGCTTCTTTTGCTGCTGATAATTTTCTTTATTCTCATGACCTTACTGCATGATTCAGGAGTGATATTGTAGGGAGAAATTAGATGCTAGTCACTCCTAGGGGTCAAGGGTTAAGGGAATCTATCAAGCCCCATTTATATTTTCAAAATACTTTCATGTTTTGCAGTGGATTTATCTCCCATGTTTCCAGATACACTAATGGTTGGCATGGAAATAAGACTGAAGGTGAGAATCAGAGGATTTTGTGTGCAATTTTATTCATTCTGTGCTTGTGCACAAATGTTCTTGGGGGCATTTATGTTGTGTGAACTTGCCAATCAAAAGTGCTTGATTGATAAAACTGACCACCTTAAGGAATTGCTACTAAGAAATAGGTTTGGTGGGAGAAAGATTGTCTTTCATTCTTTATTAAAAACATTGTTTAATGAATCAAGAGAGCTGTTATAAATATTATATTAATTGATGATCAGATGTGACTCTTGTGATAACTTGAATGAACAAAGGTGAAGTAAAAATGCTACATCTCAAAAGAAAATTTTGAGGGTGATAACACTTACCAAATAAGGGAAAACAAAGAAAAAAGATAGATATATTTCCTGAAGAAATTTGATATTGCAACCAACAACCATTGCAGTTTCTGTTCAAGAACAGATTCTATAATGCAGCTATTTCTAGAGTGTGATGTCTCTATTTCCATATATTCAAGTACCATTATGTGGTTTAACAATATACACACATTAAATGCAAGTCCTTCTGCTGAACAGATTTTATTCAATTTAAAGAAATTGCTTCTTTGACCTCCATCTAAAAGCACAGACTGATTTATTCATGTATAGTTCTCTCCAAGGATCCCAGCATTCCTGAACTTCAAACCAAACTCCAAGTGCAATGAAAAATTGTTAACCAATTCTGACAATATTGTGAACATTGTTCACTGACTTGATTTTGCAATTTTCCCCGTCAATATAGCAAGGATTTTAGTAAATGAAATATTGCAAATATGTGTAATGTCAAAGGTGTAAAAAGTTGCAAGTAGCATTTATTATATTTTTAGTAATTGAATTATATTGCAAGTAGCATTCATAATCATATTGCCATTTAATAAGTAGTTTGAGTGTTAGTATTGTATGCAACATGAGTCATTGCATTGTAATGTATGAAGTGTAGCATTAGTAAATTGTTAGTAGTGTATTTTGTATTTTGTTGTAAGTAGTGCAAGCACTGTATTGTAAGTATTTAGTGTAAGTCTTAGTATTTTAAGCGGCAGAATTAATAATATTGAAGAAAAAAATACATTTCCCCACAGCTCACCTTGTGTTAGGATTCTAATTTCCATGTAACACTTGGGCTACAGATAATACTTCCACAAAATGCCTTTATTTAGGTCAGTGACTATGTTAGTGACAGAGTGATGGCTTTAAGAAAAGCCAACCCAGGGCAGTACCAGAACATTCATGTGATAAGGACTAATGCCATGAAGTACTTGCCCAACTATTTTCACAAGGGTCAGGTAAGTTTGTGTCTGAATCATCACATTACAGCAATAACGAGGATGTGATGTGAACCCTTTCATTCCCAAATGCCATTAGTTATTCTCCTTACTGTCTGCCTTACAATTCGTATGATGTTAGTTGGGAGAATTAGGTATTAGTGATCCCCTAATTGATACTTTTCTTTATTCTCGTCACTTTTCTGCTTGATATTGTATTGATATTGTTAGGAGAAATTCTATCTTGGTCACTCATGGGAGTTAAAGGTTAAAAAAATCACAGTGTGAAATTATGGTATCATAACTTAGGTTTTCCTTTTGTACACACTTGTTCAGAATTTTTTTTGGGGGTTAACTAAGAATTGATATGAAAAATCAGACATGTTGACAGTACTTTCATGTTGGACTGTTCTCAGTCTTAGTTTTCACTCCACACAAGATGGTGTCATTAACTGCTCAATTTAGTCAAGTCCAAATTTGATGAAAATCATTCAAATCTCTGTGTCTGCTTTTGAATTGATATATCTTAAATCATTGACCAAAGTAATAGCTGTTTTTCTTTGAAACAAGTGACCAATTGAAATTTGTTGCTGTTTTGTTTGCATCTTTTGCAGTCAGCTAAATAGAACATTTACCCCTTTCCACTCTAAAATCAGGATGCATATTCTCCCAACTGCTCTCCATATATTTCCTAAGGTGCTGGCAAGGAGAATTTGTTTAATAATCAAGAGCTTCTTTAGTTGATGATCATTTCTTTTATTCTCGTGACCCAAATGTGTGATTCAGTGGTGATGTTGTAAGGAGAAATTAGATGCTGGTCACTCTTAGGGGGAAAGGGTTAACCAATACTTAGCAAACTATTTATTTGTTTACGTCAACTTTGCAGCTCAAAAAGATGTTTTTCCTGTTTCCTGATCCTCATTTCAAGCAAAAGAAACATAAGTGGAGAATAATAAGGTCAGGAGAACGGAAAAAGGTGGCTG